AATTGGACATGTTCCTGGAAGTTTTTTACAACAAATCTGCAATCCAAACAAATAGAAGTCAAGTTCGAATCTTGTTAGGTTGTTAAATTTAAGTTTTATAGAGAGTTGGACTTAAAAGAGTTATCTCGACATGACTTTCCTCTCAAAGAGAATCTGATATTGACTGAAAGAAAAGTTTTATACCAAGCTAATTTTATGACTATTTTTTATTGCGAGACGAAGGTGAAACGTTTTTTCTTAACATAGGCAAAAATTGTCGGTTTTTCTTTAAGTTATTCATTCGTTAATAATTTCTTAAAGAACGATTATAACTCACTAAATTTAAAATCGATATTTTCGGATTTTTATAAGGTGCAGATAACTTTAATCACCGAGTAGGACGGGCTTTTTTATGATTAATTTATCTTTTAATGTATCTCCGTACACTTTTTAGATGCACAATTACCAAAAAGATTTAAAATAAACAGTGAATTTCATCAACATTCCGAAGCCGTTCGTCATTTTGGACTGTTCAAATTCAACAGAGGTCACTCTATTTTAAGCGCCCGGATAAACAGTTGCTTCGCTTTCTGTACAAATTTTATTGATTAAACGTTGGGCATGTGGCAGTTTGAACTCGAATCTTTTGCTAATTCTCTTACTCATAGAACAAATATCTCCACATATCAGTTTCGTTATCTGGCAAGAAACATGCGGAACGTCGTTTATCTGTATATCGTGATGGAAAAGTCGATCTTTCCACCCCAGAGTAGTTAGTGGATGCGCTCCTGCAACCACAATAATCGCATTTTATTTAACGATAATAGCTCATAAAACAACACGAGTATCTTTCGATAAAATATATATTCCTTTACCGATTGATAAATATTTTTGAAATTAATCTCACCCAAAACAAATAAGTATTTAGTGCATTTTTACAACAAAACTTAATTATATTTGAATTTTAATGCCGAATTTTAGTTAATATTACGCAAGAAATAAAAACATCGATAATTTATTACTGGTTACAATAAAACTTTTGCGGACAGAAATTAATTGAGTCGAGCTCTTTGCTGCATCTGAAAAACAAAAAAAAAACATCTTTCAACTATAAAAATCCACCTTTTTCCTGCTGTAAATCCGTGGAGTAGATGTAAGACTTTGTTTTATATCTCTTTCGGTTGTTTTTTATTGTCTGTACTGTAGAAGTTATAATTTAATTTATAACTTTTTCTGTTTTACGCTATACATTAATATTGTATACTTTACGTGAGGAATGCAAAGCAGCGGAATAATAATTATTCATTTTTTTTAACGCAATGTAACTCTCGTACGAACTAATTTTTCTTAAGCAATTATACTTTCAGATTAATTATCGTTTTTGTTCGTGTAAATGATCTCGACAAAATTTTAATCAACGTTCCTCTATACAAATAACCTGTTTTGTCAGTAAAGGTTATGTCATTTAATAGAATGGCAGGAGAAAAAAATTGAAAAAATTCACTTTCGATTGATATTAAAATAGCCTACATAGTAACGAAAATCTTTAATTAAGAAGAAGCTTCAATAATGAATCATTCGGGACTGATAAAATAGTCTTTAGTTGCAATAGGATAATGCAAATCTGAAAGATTAACTAGAGCTAGACGTGAGTGTACTTGCATGTAAAATTACGTACGCAAACATGCTTCTCTAGTTATATATTCGAGTTGAATTACCTAGAAGCGATATTAAATTAAATAATATACAGACTTTAATCAATTTCTATAAGTTAAACAGCGCTTTAATTTTCGTTTATTGATGAAAATTAATTCGCGATTTAGTCTACTATAGGTTTAATCCTCGTCTCTTGTTTCCTTTGTATAAATTATATGGTACTTGGCCTCGTTCTGTTGATAATGCAACTTTATCCGGGTCACTATCAAGGGCCGAATATTAATAATGAAAACTGTCATCTTGTGTAAGTGTTGGAATGGACCCAAAATGGTGACACTGTTTAAATTTATATGGAATAACTTAATCAAAAAAGTGACACTTCATAAATTCGCATTTATTGATTAATAAATTGTCCATATGTTTTATTATAAATCATGTAAAAGTGTTTAAAAACATCTTCCGAGATTAAGATTTATCTTAAGAAGAGTAAAATATTTGTAGTGAACTCGGATTTTATCGCATATGTTAATATAAGTTTTAGCTTTATCTTTAATAAATTTTATTCTATATAATGATTCTTTATTTTATAAAAATATTCTATCGAATTATATTAATGAATATTATAAATTTAATAAGAGGCAAAATATATAAAATTTGATATAAAATTTTTTCGTTTAAGTAAAATATCGAATAAATTTTTGTCTTGAATCTTAACAATATTGACAGTTTCCATAATTTGTAATAGTTTGAGAGTTGCCAAATTTTAAATGTTCTTACTTAATTTTATTTAATTTTAAGTTTTCATAAAGTTTAAAAATACGTGTAAATAGTAAATGTAAACATATAAACAAATAACATTCAATACAAAGTATATACACCATTCTTTATTCTCCAAAAACTGATCCGGGTAGAAAAAAAATGTTTTTTTTTATTCTGATTGATTTAATCAGTCTTTCGATTAACATGCCCCAATGTTCTAACCGGCCAAACATGTAAATCAATTGAAGTTAAATAAATTACTCCTTTGTTTCTGGTTTACATTGGGCAAATGTTACATGAGTATCTTCGAATGTCTTAATTCGAAGTTACTCATACAGTATAAATCTCGACCGTGTTCGTACCGAAGAACACGAATTCGGAACTTATCGAGAGTTAAAATATATTTTTCTGACTCAGTTAATACGTGATTAATATACAGCAGAACGTGTTATTTGATTATTAACAGTTTTATGGTTTTCCTTCAGTAATTTAAGGCAATTCATTCAATTATGAAGTTCTAACACCCGAACAAAAATAAATAAATAAATAAATAAATAATTAGCGTTAAATTATTTTAAATTAATTCCAGAAATTAATCCAAGAATCTGTTTATTAAATCTTCTACTAGAGAAATAAAAGTTCAATTTATAATTAATAAGTTAAACTTTTATTTTTCTAGTTTTTAAGGCAGTTGAAGTAAATAGACTTAAAAAAAGGAAGTAAATCATTTTGTCACTAATAAAAGTAATCCAAAATTATTGACTTCCAGTTNTGATTATTAACAGTTTTATGGTTTTCCTTCAGTAATTTAAGGCAATTCATTCAATTATGAAGTTCTAACACCCGAACAAAAATAAATAAATAAATAAATAATTAGTTCCTCTCTTCATTAAATAATGGAAACATTGTAAAATGATGTAAACATTATTTTAAGGAATTATTAAAATAAAACTAAAGCTCATGTATTTTTGTTTTAATCAAGATCAAGCCATCGTATTGAAAGTTATTTCAAATATAAATGTCAGAGAAAGTCATTTGGATATTCAAAATGAAGTGCAGTTGCAGATATCCACTATTCAAATAATTCTATTTTTTGGAAGACTCATTTCACTATTTAAATTGGTATCATTTAAGGATCGAAGCAACTTTTTCGTCAATTTCTCAAAAAATAAGTCGTCTTCTTTAAATAAAATTACACAACTCTGCATCAGAGAAATGCCGTAAATTTTCTTGTAAGGAGAGAATTTTCTCATGCTTGATGCGATTTAAAAACTAATTTCCCGATAAAGTTAACTGAATGCACGTTTATTTACATTAGTCGAGCAAAAGATCCGTTTGGTGTATAAATATTGTTATACATATGTTAATACTAAGCGCGTGTTTTATCGATTCTTGTCTTGTACGGAGATCTTGTATAATTTCCTGGTGTATAATGAATAGAATGTATCTATTCTCCAGTCATAATTAAGACGGATGTTTAACAATTGTTTACTGGAGAAATTGAATAATTGCATTATAATGTTGGTCAGTTGTAGCAAGTGTTGGGTATTTTTAATCTCTTCTAAGTGACTTTATGAACTATTATGAATTATAAAGCTTAACGATTATCTAACTTAAATCACCCTTAAATAATTTGCTACATAAAATATTATTAAATTATAATGAAGTTTTGTCAAAATTTTATCGTCTTCTCTTGAGAAATTCATAGTAGTTTATTGTATTATGATATATTCATTTTGTAAGTTGGAGAATGCATAAGCGTAGAAAAAAATAAATAAAAAATATTATGTGTGATAATAAAAATTCCTGTTGGACGTTTAAAGTTTAATTGTTATTGTTTACGGCCAGTTATTATGTTAATCAGACAGTACTAGGTAGAGCAGTTGATGCTGAAAATCTCAATACAGCGCCGAGAAATATCAATATCCAAGTACTGACAAGTCAGGACGTTGCCCTTTAGAGCGTACATGTAGGTGCTGATGTTGTTGCAAAATTCTTTATTGTGAAATTTCGGTTCCTTTCAAATTTTTAAAGAAATACCCGATTTATTTTGCATTTTTTAACGATTTGCATTTGATAAAAATCAAATTTTTCAGCTCTGTTAATTCTATTGCTTTTAATTTCATTTCATCGAATTATTTAAAGTGAGGACTTGTTCGATTGAATAGTTTTCTTATGTTATTGTTTTATTAAAAATTATCGAATAAATTTATATATCTTAATAACTGAGCTATAACTATTTTCAATTTATTAAATCGTTTATTTATTTTTCTTATGGTACAAATCAAATCAGAAACATTTGCAAATTATAGAAGATGCAGGTTTTAGCAATATGCAATTGCTTTTACTATAGAGAAAAGTTGTTATTAATGATATTTTTAAGATTAATTTTTGTGATATTTGATTAATAGAATAAAATTTGCTTATTTTGTACATTTTGTAAGAATGTTTTGTTCGTTTTCTGGCAAATAAGGGAGGTCAATCGATACATCTGCCTGCAGTTCCTTGCTGCTTGTTTCCACTGCATCTCAGTCTGGACTTAGAAATAACTGAATTGGATTATATAACGATCTATTTTTCTGATTCTTAATTTAATTTCTTCACAGGTTTCGAAGTAATAATTTTGCATCTAAAATGAAACTGTATCATTGTTGAAATAATGGACGAAGAGGCGGGTGAGTGTGATCCGGAGGAGGTAAAATGTCATGTCAATCATGCACCTCATCCACCTCCGAAACAAGAAAAGACAGAAAGGAAGGAAGGCCAGTTGCTGTTTGAAGAAAAAAAGTTTCTTTTGTCTGTAGAAAGAGGTGATTTGGCTTCTGTCAGAAGGTGAGATATCCCCCATTGATTTATTTATTAGCTATATGTGAATTCTGCCGCTCTTTTGTCCGATTGTGATTACAACTTACGATAGATTTTCAGTCATGTAGGTCAAAAGTTAACTTAGAGAATGATAAAGATTCTTTAAGGGGATGAATCTTATATCATTGACTCCTAATTTGTCTAACAGTGTAATGAATTACAAAAGATTGCCGATATATCAATAGATATATTTTAATTAATATTTAATAGTATTTGTAGTTCTTTTTTTAATCTAATATTCAATATTTTAATCGAAATACAGAAGATATATCGTGTAGTTTTATGTTACAATGAATGTAACAATATATAATTGAGAGTTATCAATTATATATAGTTATTTATGAATTTATTTACTAGTTACTTAAGAATTAATTAAAGAAACTAATTAATTCATAAGCAAAAATTAAATAAAAATTAGAAATAGTTTTTGCAAAATATTGATATTATCTACTTATTTCAGATTTTTATATAACATTGAATAAAGAATTCGTGCAAATAGTATTTTTTATTTAAGAAAAATTAAAGTTTATCCAGACAATGTAAAATTTCAAGCTAATGCCAAGAAAAAGAGATTATTATTCAAATTCAAAACTTGTTAACGATATTTCTACTCCTGATAAAAGCATTTTTCTTACATCTCAGTAATTAATGATTAATTAAATTTTATACTGGAATTGTTCTCTCTGAATAAAGAACATAATGCCTACAGTTAGATTATTGTGACTCCTAGCAAGATTCAGCATTCAATTAACGACTGCGAAACATCTTAAAAAGCAGCAGTTTCAACATAAAAACGTCTGTTAAAACAACAAATGTAAAAAAAGAATATAAAAAATTATTGTCGTTTAAGTTCATTAAGATTTCTATTTGTTTTATTTTTATATGTTTTTCCCGATTTAACTGTTTCTTTTTTTTAGACTCAAACTATTTATTAAGTTCAAATGGCTAAAATAACGATTTTAAATTAGTAAAAAAAAAATTATTTAAAATCTTGACTTTAGTGCTTTTTTTAAAGTGAAAACAGACTTTCCATCTCGTTCGTTATTATAAATTAACGAGTGGTAGCAAAAGAAAGAATATAATGGAAGAGCGCAAACTGTAGAATCTGAAATTGGATTGTTACGAATTGGTTATTATCAAATGTGCTTTGGTGACAGGTGAAGGGAGAAACGATTTTATGGTAGTGAACTTGATTCTGTCTCTCACACCAACTTTATTTCATATCTTATTACTAAGTAATTCCGTCTTGATTGAAATGCAACGTACTATGCATTCTATTTATTCTCTAAATCCTTCAAGATTTATCCATCGAGATTGTATCGATCTAATGGATTATATCCAAATAACGTAAAAAGCTACCTTTCCCCCCATAAAATTTTACAATAGCTTAATTTACTAGCAAGATTTGTATATATTATAAACGAATAACTAACAGGCCATAAATCTATTTTGCTAGATGATAATTTGTTGTGATTTAAGAAAATAAATTGATAACATAAATGCGTATAAAAGTATAATTACCTTGTTTCAAATAAATTCTATCTTTCTTTTGTTCTTCTTATGTATATCGATATTTCAAGTGCTTCCGGAGAGCGTTGATAGAATCTTTCGTTAAGCTCGTGATTTTAAATATAAGCATTTCTTCTTTAGAAAATAAATAGACAGATCGACCTGGTTAAGTTAGTCGATCACAGTAAAGAGTTAAGCTATAGAGATTTTTAAGACGATTTTATATATTTAATAATTGCTAATTAATAGTAATTTGGTCTCAAAATATTTTGAAATTAGTCATTTGAGAAAGGAAAGAAAAATAATAAAGGAATTTTTCATTTTTCATGAAACTATCCTGTTATTATTCTAACTTATTTTACCATCGAATTACCATAATTTATGGAAATTACTTATCTGTCTTTTTAAAAAATATCAAACAACGACTTTTTAACGATGATTTATTTTTTAGTATTCTTTACACTATTAATTTTTCTCTGATAAAAACTGCAATCTTTACTGTCGAGAGATGCTTATATTTTCTACTCGGGAATGCGATCTCATTATAAGGCGATTAATTGTTTTAACTGCATATTCCAATGAACCACTAATCTATTTTCGATTGGATGTTGCTGCCAAAAACAATCTTAGTTATAAGCCGATTTAAATATCGCAGAGAAAAATAAAAATTTTTATTCGATTTTAAAATTCATATATTTGACGAATAAATCTGACGAATTGATTTTTGTTCCTTTCTCATATATGTGTAAATATCTTGAATTCAGAAAGGCTTTTACAGTTATTTTTAAATACGTAAACTTTTAATCAAATTTTCTGTTTTTTCATTATTTATATTCATTGTTTTTTCCTCTCAGATATCTAGAATCTGCCAAAGAAAAAGGCCAAATCAATATCAATTGCGTGGATCCCCTAGCAAGATCCGCTCTGTTGATGGCCATTGATAATGAAAATTTGGAAATGGTAGAATTATTAATAAAATATGGAGTAGAAACAAAAGATGCATTACTTCATGCTATTAGTGAAGAATATGTCGAAGCAGTCGAAGTATTGTTGGAACATGAAGAAGCTCATCACGCTCCAGGGGAGCCACATGTAAATATGTCTTTAATAATTGTAATTGTAATAAAATATTAAGTACAGTATTTTACTGCATATAAGACATACAGCATCAGGGCAGAATATTTAGAGAAAAGTATTTAGTGTATTTAAAAGCCATTCCGCGCCTTTGACATTCGATTCCCAAAATTTTGTTTAAAAAAGTAAAATTAGAATGCAACAGGGAAAAAAGAGAAGTCATTTACCATTAAAATATTTAACATGACTACATGAAAAAGCTGCTTTTCATTCTCTGTAATGGCAAAGACTAGGATATCTAGGCACTAAAAATCATATAAGTTATAACTATTTATATTATTTTTAGTTCTTAAACGACCTTACTTTAGTAATAGCACAGGCTATTCTTATGTATCAGTTCATATCTTCCCACAGACAGCTGAAGTTTACTATTAAATATTTTAAATTCTAAATTAAATTAAACTTTAATTTATAATTTGCAAATATTTTAAGATTAGTAGAAAAACTAATTTTTAAAACAAGATCTAAAAATTTTAAACAGAATGTTTAGTGATTGACTAAAAAAATCATTCAATTTCACTTTTTTGGGATGGGATGGGGTAGAGTGAAAGTTGGAAAATGCTAGCATTAAGCATTTTTAAGTGTTAAGTGTTTAATCTAGTCGTAGAAATCTGGAAAGCCTATCTTTAGCCTATTGAAGGCCGTTTGAGGAATTCAGTCGTCTATGGGAGAGCGCAAATTAACATATAAGATGCAGGGCGATCTTTTAGCCTGTTTTTTGGACAAAAGTTGCTTCTTATATGTCGTAAAATACGCTATTATCAAATTTCGTGAAAACAATCATATACAATTTGATGAATAGATAATGGAAAAATTTAACAGATTTTATTCCTCTCATTTTCTAGAATTTTATAGAAAATTCATGAGTTTAATCGATTAACTAAAGCAATATTACTAATCTACAGTACTTTGCAAATTATTAAATCCATGCAAAAAATTGATGATTTATTAGTTTTTGATGTAATAATTCAATAAAAATGCAATTGTTGATAAGATTATTTAAATATCATAGAACTTTAAAAAATCTAAAATGAAAATTAGTATTTTGAATGATCATCTTTAACAGCTAGAAGTGCTTCTATAACATAATGAATACTCTTTATACATTTTTTTTATTTTTGTTCTCATAATTGAGGCTGTGCTGCCATAACTTACTAAGAACCTCTGTCACTTCCCTTTTTGTTATTTTTTTACATTTACATCGTTGCCATATAAAAAAACTTATTAAAAGTATTTCGGATATAATAGAGAATAAGAATATCATGAAAAAATACTCATTCTTTAAAAAATATTATAAAAAAGAGAAGAAAATAGTACAAAAAGTAAGATATTAGTCAATGGGTCTAATAATTTGGCAAGTATGTACAGTACAATATAGTACAGTATGAAAAACCAGATGTACAGTACAATACATCTGGTTCTTCACATTCGGGGTTAGGCGCGCAAGATCCTCGCGAGAGTGGGAAACTTAATTATTAATATTGTTGATCATATTTAACACAAAAATAAAACAATACAATGTACTATAACAGTATATTTTATAAATTTAAATTTAATTATAGTACCAGCAATGTAGGCTAACACACATAGAAAGAAATACGCAATACACTATATTTATAGTATGATGTGATGCAATACAGGCACAGTATTTAGATAACAGTAAAATTATTAAAGTTGCAAGAAACACGAGATACAGTGCACTAAGATACAAAACGCGTGATTGAAACTGGCTATTGTCTAGCCAAAGAGCGTGGCGTCCCCAAACAGAATGTATACTCCCACACACCGCAACTTTACAGCAAATTTGTATATACAGTAGAGCATCGATTATCTGACCCCCGATTAACCGTCACATCGGTTAACCGATCGTTCTAGTCGGCAAATTTCAAATGTCCGCTAGTGATATGGCGCTACAATATTTGGCTATCTCTTGGCTACTTTAATATTATTTTTGTTAAATTTTTGCGTATTTTAACTGGCAACACTGACTCGACCATGAAAGGGAGGCCAGTATTTAAACGAGACTTAATTTTCTAATTATGAGTGGTTGTTTGCTTTGTGAGCAATAAAATAATTTTAAAAATAATTTTTAACGATACAATAGCGACGATTATTATTTTTAAAAAAAATTTGTTAGGCTTAACATCGATGAAAATTTAACGCGAAGTAGGTTAACGATATACTAATATACTAATTACATTTAACTAATTAATAGCGATATACAGTACTAATATATTAATTACATGGGCTATACTAATATACTATACCAATAATGTATTTTTTTCATTCTTTTCGGTTATCCGATTTTTTCAGTTATCCGATCAACCCGAGTCCCCAATTGAGTCGGATAATCGATGCTCTACTGTATTTTATGATAGGAAATGATAAAATAGTTTAATAATAAATCAATTTTATGCATTTATAATTTACTAAACTTTTTATTTACATTTATCTAATTTACGCGCATTGCCTGCAATTTTCCACAGTAGGCAGCAAAACTCCAAAAGAATCCCCATTTAATCATTGATGAAAAATTTACTAATACAGTAATTAAATCTCTAAAAGTTAAATCCTCGAAAATCGAAATTGGATTGTATTTTGATTTTTTAATCCTTCAAATCAAAATTATTTCTTAAATTTTTATAGTAATAACAAGTAAGCATTAGACATTGTAATTAAAAACTTAACAGTTTAACGATTTATTAAGTTTATATATCAGTAATATATTAATTAATATTAAATTTCAAACTATTTCAGAGTTGGGAAGCTATCGATCAAGATACTGCAACTTTTACACCCGATGTAACTCCACTGATACTGGCTGCTCATCGTGATAATTACGAGATCTTAAAGATCTTACTGGATAGAGGATGGGATATACCGCTCCCTCATGAAGTCCGGTGTGGTTGTAACGAATGTGTGCGTTCTAGATCTGAAGATAGTCTACGACACTCCAGATCTAGGATTAACTCCTTCAGAGCACTGGCATCTCCGTCCTTGATAGCCTTGTCCAGCAAGGATCCCATTTTTACGGCCTTCGAATTAAGTTGGGAATTGAGGCGTCTTAGTTTTATGGAACATGAATTTAAGAACGAATATCAAGTAAGGAAAAAATCAAAAACTTTTCTTTTATTTTTATATTTTAATTTAAATTAATGCGTTTTTTCTATTGTAGGAACTGAGAAGACGTTGTCAGAACTTTGCCACGGCTTTACTGGATCATACGAGGAGTTCTTATGAGCTGGAAGTGTTATTGAATCATGATACAACCGGTCCTGCTTTCGAACATGGTGATCGTATGCACTTGAATCGTCTCAAACTGGCAATTAAATATAAACAGAAAAAGGTAAACATAAACAGAGATTGGTATTTAGTTAATCGAAATTCAATAAATTGAAATGTGAACGTTTTCAAGGAATTTACTTTGCAATCAGAGAGGCTCATTCAAAATTCTTTTAATAAGGAGAGTTTAATGATGTAATTAAAATGGTACGAAAATTCCACAGATTCCTTGGGATAATAGCTGCTTGAAGTAGGGTATGCGCTGTTATCATTCAAAAATTAAAAATAAATAAATAAAGATTTGCCGTTTATTTTGGTTTTCTTGCTGTGTAAAGGAATAATTTATAAATATTTAATATATTCTCAATTTATTATTTATTTTTTATTTATTTAATAAAAGCGCTTCGTGGAACTATGCCTCTAGCAAAGTATGCTTTGAAACATATTTAATGTATTATGTATAAATTATGTAACATCAAACTTAGTCGGATAACTAAAGCACGACAGAATTTGTTTTGTTTATATGATTAATTTATAACTGGTTGATAAAAAAAATTGAAATAGCATTAGATAAATTGTAAAACTTGAAATATTATTTTTATAATTTGTATAAGCTGAATCGAAGATTTTATGTAAGAAAAGGCATTTTTTTTCTCTGAAAGGAACCAAACGGAAAATGAGCACGTGTGGTAGATCGTGACTCTAGCAAACATCACCTAAATTGTTGCAATTTGTGAGATAATATTAAAGCCTATTCTCGTTAAAACAGCATGACGTAGCGCAGAACATAGCAGTAAAGTGCAGTTCACAATTACTTTTATATTATTTCTACAAACATTCTTAAGTCAAGATATTACCATTAAATAACATTAAAAAAAATAAGGTACTGTATTTTAATGCCATGAATTGCACTGCATTATGTTGATTTAATGGTAATTGGTTTTTACAAGTTAGCATATAATCTTTATTTGATTTTCGATATAAATTTTTCAAAGCAACGGACCGAATATATACATTATTCGTATGTTCAGATAATAATTGGATACGATTTATCGAGAAGAATTAGTTAATCATATCACATTTTTATCTCCTGCAATTAGTTGCTTATCTCTAAGTATTTAATTCCTCAATCAGAAAAACTGGATAAAATTTATCTTTAAACAATTCGGTCTTGTAGAATATCATAAATAAGAAATGTTATTAGAAGAAGTTATGAAATTACTTCAGGAATATCTCTCGTCTACAAAAGATAATATCGAATTATATTACATACTTCAGACGTTTATTTTTATAATGTCGGCTTATTATTGGCTTTTGTAATATAATATATAGCCCATTAAAGAAATATTCTAGATGAACTAACAAAAAACGATTTTAGAAATTTCTAAATAAGATCAGAAATATGTAAGTCTAATATATCGACTATGAATAAATGTCATTTTATAAAGATTTGCATAAATCTCGTTATTAGTTTATCAAATGTGCCGTTCCCTGTAACAATTTTTATCTTTAAAATTTATTATTTAGCGCTTACGATTTATATATTTATCACACAAACAGAAAATTATATTTTTTCAAACGTAGTGAAGCTGAAATGTAAAATATTAAATAGAGAATCTCGAAGGGATTTTGTTTTAACAAAAAATTCTCCCTTAGATTTTCCTTAACATCAACAATAATTTTTTTTTTATTTAGTTGTCAAATGATTCGCTAATATATTATCTAAAGCGCTTTAACTTTACTGATCAATAATAATAAAGGATATTGCGTTACTAAATAAACTAAGGTAATTTAAAACTTAGATAAGATAGAAGTGATAGAACTGAATCGCTTTTCTTTTCTTGAGACTTATTGGATAGACTTATTTTATAAATTTGATCAGTTTTCCATTATCACGACCAAAGCTAAATATTCGACTTTTTACCATCCATTTGTAATACTGCATTAAATTTAAGAAATAGAAAAGATCTTTTCCATTCGCGGATTCGGTTTATGGCGACAAAACCAAATTTGATAACGTCTCTAAAACATCATCTATATGCTATATTTCAGTATTTTTAAGTCATTTTTAAGAAATTGCATTTTTATGAAATATATTACTTAAAAAGGAACCGAAATCGCTTTATTCTAATAATTTTACAGTACAATATATCAATTTAAATATAAAAAAAAATTTAAAGGACATATCCTGCATGCTTACATTCTATTTTTTCCTACTTCTTCTTGTTTTAGTTTTGTGCCCATCCAAACGTGCAGCAGCTCCTCGCCTCTATTTGGTATGAAGGGCTTCCTGGTTTTCGAAGGAAAAATGTCGTGTTTCAGACTCTAGAGATTTGTAGAATAGGCATTTTGTTTCCCGTCTATTCAACATGTTACATCGTAGCACCTCATTCGTCTTTAGGAAGAACCATGAGGAAGCCTTTTATCAAATTTATCTGTCACTCGGCCTCTTACGTCACATTTTTATGTAAGTATAATATATCTATATTTCTAATTTAAATAAAGTTATAATATCAATAAATAATATTTGGTATTTGAACATATCAAACAAATGCTTCGAATGCAGTAACTCTTATCTGTTCGAACTTAAACTGTTATTTTTCACATAAAATAGACGTTTAGAAACATACAGAATGCATCAGTTGATTTTATGAGTCTGGGCACGTCTCCAAAACCTGAGAATGCCGTTTAATATGATAAATGTTAGCTCAAATTTCACATACAGAATAATAACACATCGAATACTGTAATTGTAACTTTTTCCATATTATTTGATTTGTCATTTAAATGATTTAATATGAATAAAAATCTCGAATTCAGCGCTCTATTTTTGATTTCTTTATATTCTAATGGAAATTTAGAAATCTTAGAGAAGCTAAAAAGTATATTTAAAGTATTCAATATACAGAAAAGTTTATATAGTCTATTTTATATTCTATAATTTAAAAATCGCGTCAGATCGTAAATGAAATGGAACCATATAATGGATATATAATCTGAAAATTTTTATGTTTAAGATTAAAATTATTTATACAGTTAAAATTAAAATCTTAATTAAATTTAAAATAAAGTTGTTTTTTACATGATAAGTTAAAATTTATAATCAATCAGGACGAAATTCTTAACAGTAAATTCTCCAATATAAGTAGTCCCAATGAAACTATAGAATGTCTTTCTAAAGAGTCTTTAGCTCTTCATCAATCAAATGGACTCAGTTCAGCAATCAATAAAGTCGGTTCCAATGATTTTGAAAATTCTATTGCACTTTCATTTGGCAATATTATCGTGAAACTATTTAAAGCTATTGAAACCTTTTTGGTATACTTTTAACCCTTGAAAGCTATTGCGCTTCAAATCCCATAAAGACTATTTACCTCTTTACTAGATTTTCCGGCCTTGTAACGAGAAATTATACACTTGAAATTGTGCATTTGAAATTGTATCGGCTAGAAATAATAATAGCAATAAATATCTTAATAAAACAAGAATATTTATTATCTTGTTGAAGTTTTAAAATACAGTAATTATTTCACAATTAAAAAATAAATTCATTTATAGAAGTATAGTTGCAATTTAGTCGTACTTCTCTTCATCAATTAAATAGAATTTTAGAAATTATTGTTCCATTTGCGCAGATTTCTATATATAAAATAACAGTGAGTCTTTCGAATTATGTAATTAAAGTGTAGTCATTTTAAATAAGTTATTTTAAAATTTTCCAGTACTAAACAATAATTATTTTTATCAAAAAATGATAATTCTCGCTGTCGTCCGTGTCTGTCTGACTTTCCTTAATCTCTAGAATAGAACTAGTTAGATAAAAGATGATACCAGATATGAAACCTTATGGGCAGGAGACCCTGATTAACTATATAAAAACTTCTGATGCAAACCGGAAATCACGTTATTTCAATTCAAAACTTCCCCTGAAAGCAGTTAATAGATGACCGACACGACTTTATTGTTAAAGGAAAAGTATGATGTACAGGGGCAAGCCACTAATAATTTGAGGTGGAAAGCATATATTTTAAATAAATTAAAATTATCATTAAAAATTGCAGCCCAGTATTGTGACAATGTCACAATAAATAATTGCTTTTAAGTTATACTTTTGTGCTTGAGAGATCGTAAAACTTGCTTAGTAAAAAAAACTAAATAATTTAATTTTATATTACTACATTTTCAATCAATATAATTGAAGAAAATCTTTAGTTATAATTAAGTGTTTATTCAACACGTTGCTTAATCAGCCAGTACAATTTCCTAACGTTATCAATAATTCAAATTACGTTGATATCAATTAATTAAAATATATCAATTAAAAGCAAACTTAGATCGGTTATTATCTTCTATATGAACTCTAATAAACTCGATTTTCTGTTTAATATGTACACAAAACTAAACATTTTTTAGAATTAAACCAAATTTGATTCTTTTTATGCTTAGTTTTCACACCAGAAACATGGTATACTTCTTTGTTTCTTGACATTTCTAGAACATCTTATTTAAAATTCAAATCGAATTCAGTAAAAATGAATGATAATTCAAAAATGCACACTAATAAATGCAGTTTTTATTCTAAATTCTATTCATATTACTAAAAAAAATAATTAATAACAAACTGTACTGTACTTCTATAGCTATTTTTATTTTATTTAATTATTAATATTTATTAAACGAATAATTTTGTATTGTTAGAAAATATAATTATGTTTTAACATGCATAATTTAATACATAAGTTGGAACCAGTATTCTGCACGAATGTTAGCAAATGTCTTTTCGTTTAATACTAGAATGTTATATTAGTAAGTCTTAATTCTAATAATTCTAATTCTTTTTACTGTTCTTTGACATAAAAAGTAGTATGAAAACATTTTAATAGCTTAATATAACAACTAAAAACTATTCGAAATATTAATATTTATAATAAATTTTTAATTAAATAATTATATACAATAATCGCTTTAATTTTAATAAATAAACTGATTTTAAAAGAATATTTTAATAATAGTGGATTACTAAATAATTAAATAGAAATTACGAATAGTACTAATCAATCGAACAGCAGGTAAATTTATTGCTTTGAAATGAATAATATTTGACAGAAATTAAAAATATTACAATTAAATTGTCGAATATATAATATTTCTAATTCATGAGTATATTAAGTTTGTTAAACCATTTAAAATGATTCTTTTTTGCATTTTTTCGTGTCTAGCTGATCCTTTCGTCTTTTAAAAAATTCATTTGATTATTGAAGTAAATCCAGATAAAGTGGACTAGGGATCCGGAAGCAGAAGGGACTTCTATTGTTTAATTATTCTTTTAATAAACAGCAAACGTCTGATTTTATTTGCATGCTTTTATGATTTTCTGAAGGGATCCACATTTATTATTTTATTTTGCCTTTTTCAGGTCTCAGAATTTAGCTCTAAGGCTTCGAATGTTTAAAAAATATCTTAATTTTATAATATAAAAATGATTAGGCCTATAGAAAATTTTCGTTTGAAATGAAGACCGTTTCAGATTTTTTTAAATATTCATTTAAATTTTCAACTCTTAAATATAGTACATTTGAAATACATTTTTATTTATATACTTAATTTACGAAGTTTTGTAAATTTATTATATAATATGAGTAATTTAATTATGTCAAATAAAATAAATTACAGTAAAATCCAATTCAATTAGAATTGAGTAAATGATGTTGATTTATACACATTCTTATTTATAGCCAATTTATTGCCATTTAAACATTTTGCAATTATTCAAGTTATTTCAATATTATTAATATGATCATTCCAGAAATGCGTATTAATTCAAAGTTAATGCTGAAACATATTTCGAAATTTTTGTCTCTCGAAGATGATTCAATGTTATGTTTTCATTGAAATAATATAAAGAAATATGTTTCAAATAGCTTCACTCATAAGATTTCTTCCCAACAAAATACTTTAGTGTTTAGTTGTTGTTGTTGTTTGCCACATATGTAGAAAAATCCGGATAAATAAGTTATGTATTTAATTCGGATTTTTCTCGAATACTAAGAAAATAATTAAATTAGTAAACCCCGAATTTATATGCTAAAACATATTTTTCTTTTTGATATGTTGGAAAGTCAAACCTACATATTTGACATTTCCTTCGATTTCTGAAACGAATTATGTTGATTTTATGTAACATATTTCTACATATTTTGTGATATTCGTCATATCTCTAGCTTTTTCTGGTATGTCAATAGCATTAGAGCAACTATTGGTAGTTGTGTTAGTGAATAGTTTGCATATAAGGTTAAGAGACACCAATGAAAACAATGCCTTGCCAATAGGAAGGTCTTTATTCGAAAGAGCTAAAAGTTATACATATAAGTAATTTCACAATGCTTTAAATGAAATCCCGAACGCTTAGGTAAGACGTTATTGTTTTATAAGTGCCCAACATTTGCCCAAAGTATTCAATGAATACAGTAGCAAAATCGTAATTTCATTGGGCAGAATAATAAATATACAGTAAACAAATCTATAGTTTTGGACCGTGTAATAGAAATACAATAGAAGAATTTTGATTTTACTTTCCTGGCTGTTATGTACAGTACATTTAACAAGGGAGAGTAAGGCAATCGGACAAAACAGAGACCCTCCAAGGCTTTTACATTTTTGGACTCAGGGCACCTTAAAATGTCGAGAAATGAAAGAAAGGGATTTTTTCCTGTATGTATGGATGTTAGTGTGTGAGAAGCACGATTTTGTTCACCTTTTTTGAAACTTAATAACTCTTGTGTCTTTTGCCGAAAATTTCTGAAATTTTGCAGGGAGATTAGGATGATTGATGCTATCAAATTCTGATGGTTAATGGTTAAGAGATTTGCTTCTTTGACTAAATTTCAAGATCGACTGCTATCTAACTTTTTATTTATAATAATTATCACAAATTCGTGTTTTTTTTAAATTTTATTTAAAATAAAAAAAGATATAGATAAAAATTCCATTACTAATTTTCTTAAGAAATTATATACTATGACTTTTTAATACTAATAGCCCATCTTATTAAAGTTAATTTAAAATATTTCTATAATATTGCATATTTCGAACATTCGAAAAGTCAAGTGTACCTAACTGAATTTTCTGAGTACCGAGATAATAAAAAATCAAATCCCCGAATACAAAAATTTCTCTGTTACTCAGTACTATTATATTAATATTTATTATTAAACTTCACTTTATTTTTGTTCGAACGAATTTTACTTCGAGTAAACAAAATTCATTGGCATGTATCAATATTTATTTAGAAAAATAAGCACTTGATGCAGTTTTTATTTAATTAAAAGAAAAGTTAATTAAACCTTGTTCGTAATTATAATTGCTTTTAAATAAAATTTGATTATACTTTGACATTCTTAATATTTTATTTTCATATAACTTCTACTACTATTGTCATATCTGATTCATTTTAGATTCTATCTTCATAGCAAGGTGATAATTCTTTTGACTTCAATAGCATGTTAACACAGTGTATTAACACTTATGGCTTTCTAAACTATTATAAGAGGACTTTATTAAAATATCTTTCTATATAAGACGGAAAACATCACGCATTGATCAGCAGATTAAAAAAAGTATTTTATTCACGATAGGATTATCTCCAGTGAATTTATCTATTGCCCCGATCATGTTCTCTAGAATTCATTTCCATGTTTTCATTCTGGAATTTCCTGATTCTCTCAGGACATTAAATTGAACGTGAACCGAAAAAAAATAGCTTGAAATGTGTCAAACATCTGAGATGAGATGATGCAACAACTGTGTTGGCTGTGATTTCTTGACATGCAGGGTGTTGTAAATATCAAGAGTTCGTGCAACGTGTAGTTTCGCGTAAAACATAATAAATAGATATTATTTATTAAAAATAAGAAAAAAAATTATCTTTAAAATATTTTAATGTACATTAAAATGGGTAGCATTAAATTTTTAGTGCAAGATATTTATATTAGGTTTTGTAATCTTTTAATTTTTTTTTTAATCACACTTCAATTTGGATGAACATTCCATGCTTTATTCCAAAAGAATACAATTCATTGAAAATTATTTTATAAGCAAACCATAACTAGTGAAATATTAGTTTAAATTAGACGAATAATTCAGTAATAATTTAATTCGTAAGTTAAATTATTAAAGAATTTCAGAAATTTTTCTGATAGTTACTTTTTTATTAATTTAATATTAATTTATATTTATTTCAATTATATAACTAGAGGAAGCGTTAAGTACTTGAATTTCAAGTTAGATTAATACGAGCATATAATTTTTCACAATTCACATGTTGAATAAATGTAATATATTAGCCGAAATATATTAATAATTAAATCAAAATATTTATAAAATATAAATATAAAATGAATTTGAAATTATTGTAGTGTTGCTGATTTTGGCATCGCAAAGAATCGAAACGGTGGTGGTGGAATGGTTCGGAACGGAAGAGATGAAGGCACGAGTCAAAGGAGACGTCACCACCAAAAGAGGAGCAACTCCTAGCATCGTGGAACTGATGATTCTAGCATGGGTAATGGGTATGTCAGTGTATGTTTAACATTTAGAATGTAATATATGTTCGTAAGAACGCTTTGGTTCGTATTTTAAATTGAAATTAGATAGAATTTTTTGTTTTGCATTTAGTAAATTAAGTAAGTTCCTAATTGAGAAGTTATTTGCACACATTTTGAAAAATATAGGTCTTATATGGAGTGAAATAAAACAGCTTTGGGAACTCGGCCTAACAGAATATGTGAATGACATGTGGAATATCATCGACTTCATCACTAACTCTCTCTATGTGGCAACAGTGGCCTTGAGAATAGTGGCTTATTTTCAAGTAAGTTTTAGAAAACAATTGCATTAATGATAATCTCTGCATAAAAATTTATTAAAATATAAACATTCCTTCACAGTCAAATTTCGCATCAAATAATCGTTTTATTCTAAAGACTAATATAATCAAGAGAACATTTGCATCATTAATTGTACGTATTTCGGATTAATTATGCTTTAAATCAGTCATGAGCAACCCCACGGCCCCAGGCCGCTTGCGGCCCGCGATGTCCTTTCTTTATATATGGCCCCATGGCTTTGGCAGTATAGTTTTATTTTTTCGTTTTCTGCTTCGTGCCATTATACAACTCCAATTAAGCCGATATTCGTGACGATGAACATTTAAACTAAACTCGACCAGTCAAAAGACGAGAATAAACTCTATATTATTAGTTTGCGTATCATTAGCATATATTATTTTAGTATTTAGTGTACTGGCGGTTTTGGCATGTCGTTACTCGGCAGGCTTGAAGCTTGCAACTCAAAAAAAAAAAAACAAAAAATGTATGCGGCCTGCCTGAAACCTACGAAGTTCCTTTCCGACCCGCACGCAAAAAAAAAGTTGCTCATCACTGCTTTAGATGATGCTAATAAAAGAAAATTTGTTAATAAAGAAAATAAATTTGTAAATTATTAATTATTTAATATATATTTAATTTTTATACTAAAATTAAGTTTAAACATTTTAAAAGCTTTTGAATCGTGTTATGATTCTTATTTTTAAATTTTAACACTAAAATTTTTTTAAAATTTTTAAAAAGTAATTAAAAATTACGCATATAAAATAATTATAAATAATTATTGTTTTTATGCACAGATTTATGTTTAATATCAATAATTAGACTAATGTAATCATTTTCCCAAGGGAAAGATGATGATATTAGGTATCTCTTCTACAGGAAAAATTTCTATATATGAGTTAACTGCAAAGTATTATTTACATGCCCCCTACATACAAAGTATATTTCCTTTTTACATAGAATGAGAATGCTTATGATAGCCAAGGAAAGGAAAATATGTATGTATATAATTATTTTATAACTCGATATTAGTCATCTTTCTCTCCCTCTTTCTCTTTTTGTCTCTCTCTCTCTCTCTAATCAGAATTTCTTATGGACTTAATATTATATTCTTCAATTAGTTGATTGAAAACGATATTTCTCAATAGCCCTTCAGTGCATTAAAGAAGATTGATAGACAAAACATTGAAAGATGCAGCTTTTATATAAATCATATTGAAAAAGAGATTAAAAATTAATTTTAAAAAAGAGAATAAATGACTTTAATCGACATTTTTATTTCTTATCAGTAAAATTATTGTTATGAGTTGTTATAAAATTAGTAATGAAACGTCCTCAAATAAAGAAGTTTTAAAAGAGCAATCACACAGGAAAATTTAACTTAAATTAAATTATATTAGTTATTAAGTTGGAGAAAATTGAATTGTCCTAAATCGAATTTCTGAAACAATTGAATTTAAAGTCGGTTAATTATTTTTATTATTAAAAAAATGATCGATAATTAAAATAAAAATTACATAAATTAAATTTTGAAAAAGAATAATAAAATATATAATTATTTTTCTGGTTACTATTTTTATAATTCTTTAATGTTAGTTATCAAGTTCAGATTCTGTCACAATCCGGATTACTGTCAGAATGAAAGTTGAATTTAACGACTTGGCATTATCAAATTAATAAAGAATCAATTCTGAAATTTAATACGATTTTAGCTTCTTGGTAGTTTTCTAAATATTTTATACAATTTGTCATATATGGGTGAAGAAGATAATTTTTTCTATAGAAAAATTTATTGTTGACGAAATGCAATTTCAATGTAAGTAAAAAGGAAACATCCACTTCCATATTCTAATTCGCTTCAAGGAAAAAAGATTTGTCGTTTATAGTTACGTACAAACTATCCAATAGAGAAGCGAATATTTTTATTTTCTGTGATTGAATCTTGATATAGAAAAAGAAACTGTATTATAAAAACTCGAGACTTTTAATTTCTCCGACGAAAAAAATTAATCTTTAAATGTTAAAATTAAGGAATGTAAAAGATAATTTGAATATTAAACCGGCAATTGTTATAGAAGTTAATAAATAATTTAATCCAAGACTATGGAATATATTTATTGCATATTTTAGCGTACTGTATATCTTAACAAATTATCATTTGCCATTTTTTACTCTTTTCACCTGTGGGCACTAACGTAAGAGGGCTTTTTTTCCATACCCGTCATGACTTCGATTAAGCCCAAAATGGGACAGCAAGTAGTGAGGAAGGGAGGCCGACATATCCAGGAGGAATGCCCACAAAAAATTTCTAAGGTTGCTTGCCCGGGTTCGATTACGAGTGTCAGACTGACACCTTAACAATCTCGATCTTCATATGTTTAAATTAGTTATTGCAACTTTGATATAAACTTTAATCTAATAATTAATCAACTTTTTTATTTGGATAAATATTAATAAAATATAAATAATTCAGTCTTTTTATTAACATATATGTGTGTGTGTATGTATTTTCTTATGTAATTATACGAATATGTATTTTTAAAATTATATATTATAATGATCACGATATTTTTGAATTTTTAAAGAATATAATTCTTTTCTATAATTTTTTTTTTTTTGTAAAATATAGGCTATATAAAAATTAATTCGATTTTTATTAATCTGATCTTTTAAATTTATTTTATAAAAAATTATCGTATAATAAATAAAGCTTTCGTTTGACTAGTAAAATTTTTCTGAAATGAGACAGATAATATTTCCTTAAACTAAAAAAACAAACTATAAAAATCAATTAAATATCTATGAAAATTTTTATTTGATTTTATAATATTTAAAATAAATTGGATATACTGTATTTTCTTTTTTCTTTCGCACTTAATTATAGAGAATTTAAGAATCGATTATGCGATATATTTAACATGTTAAGTTCATTTTAATCAGTTTTTATATATTTTCCTTTATTTTTTAATACGAAATCGGAAAAAAATTTGGTTTTAAAAAATTTAATAAATATTTGCGAGAAGCATCTAGAAGAAATGAAGTATCACTATTTATTTCTTTAAAAATTGTCTTTTTTTAAAGGCAATTTTGTGTAAAACGTTATAATAAAATCGTTTCTTAAGTATGATGAGGTAATAATTGTATCTTCAACAAGCATATCTACTATAAAATTAATAAAACTATCAATTCTCTTACATAATAATCATTTACATGTATAATATCTGCATCGTTTAGGCTGCAAAATGCCATCAATTCCTAAATTTTCATTCCAACTCCATTTACCGTTCATATATAATCTATGTAGTGTATTGCAGTAATTTCACGGTCTGATTAAAGGGAAAAAAATATATTAAAAGCGCTCTTATGCGAAGTTCATATTTTGGTACGATAATTTAATAAATATATATTGAATTAACTTAGATATTTATTTAATATATTTATATCTATGTTTTACTACTCGAAAATTAATTATCCCGTTAATTTGGATTTAATTTCATAAAATGAGATTTCTAAAAATAAAATGGCATAAAAATTAGATTTGTCAGTTATCTAATCGAATTTCTTTAATTTCATTTTCTACGTTGACGGTATATAAAAACACATTTGCTAAGTTATCATTTGTTTGCATTCGACTTAATTAGCTACTTTTAGAAAAAAAAATATGTTATTGTTTCATTTAGAATATATATATTTTTTATTTATTTTGTAAATAAATTTATTTTTAGTTGGTATAATGTAATATAATTAATTCATCCAAAAAAACGAAATATTTTAATATTTTTAATGTAATTTTCTGTATGTGTACTGTGTGTGTGTGTGTAAGTTAACGTTGTATTTTTGTTTAGATTTTTACATTTTGTACTTTCCCATATATTTCGGAATATTTATTCTGAATGCACGGATTTGATCAGAAAGAGATTATGCAGAATAGAACGAATTTTATCGCCCTTTATTTAATACTTGCAGTTTGTCACGTCTCTGGTGAGGACACAGGACTCTATTATGTGGAATTATATGTCGTAATCCCATGCCTTTAACTTTATAGATATAGAATGTATCGTAATCCCACTGGATAAAGTTAAAATTATGGTAATGTTGAATCTCTGTATTTTGTTGGATAATAATTTTGAACAAATCGGACCTGCTGAATTTTTAATAAAAATGTTTATAAATATTTAATGTTTACTTTTAAAATTTAATAAATTAAATCGTGTGTATTTTTAGTATTTTTTAAGAAATTTATAATATTCATTCCATTCAAAATTCTCATATTTTAATTTTAAAAATGTAATTATACGATGTTTTGAACTTATTGTTTTTTTACAAAAGAAGATATATATAATAAAATCAGAAAAATCGAAAGATAAAGGTCATAAACCTTATTGAATTTTCTGTCTATGATAGTCTCTGAATAATTATTTTCCCATTTTAAAATTAGGAATATCTATCATTCCTATCAATTGAAATTCATGCTGAGAAACAGCTGTTATCATCTGTGAATAATGTTATATCTTATCTAAGTTTGATTTAATTCAATGAGTGTTAATAAAATTTTTCAAGAATTAAATGAATTAACTTGTCCTTTTAATTGAGAGTGTAAATTAAAATTTTGCTCGATAATTAGACCTATTTAATTTTTAAATAACTTCCGCTGATCGAAATATACTTGTATCTTCTATATTTTAAATTCATTTTATAACTATGAAAATTATGATTATTTAACAAAGAGTAATATTTCGAATGTTCATAATGTAAATATTAAAAATAAAAAAGGTTTTTGTCTGGTTAATTAAAACTAAACAGAAATTCTTACATATTTAATGTGATAAAAGATATGATTATATTACCTTAAAATTTAATTTTAGGTTATATTCTTATAGGTTACTTACTTATATTCGATTTTAGGTTCAAAAAGAAATTTATCAAAATAGAGGGACAGCTTATCTGCCAAGAGAAAAGTGGGATGCTTGGGATCCCATGTTGATTGCAGAAGGTCTGTTTGCGGCTGCAAATATTTTCAGGTATAATAAATTTGATAATAAAAAAATTGTTCGTTTAATTTGCTTATTTAAAAAATTATATAACAGTATTAAATAAATATAGAGAATTTTTTCCAGTTCCCTAAAGCTGGTCTACATTTTTTCTGTCAATCCCCATTTGGGACCATTACAAATATCACTTGGTCGCATGGTGATCGATATAGTCAAGTTTTTCTTCGTCTACACCTTAGTCTTGTTTGCCTTCGCTTGTGGCATGAATCAACTGCTCTGGTATTATGCCGAGATGGAGAAGAAGGTCTGCATTTCGGGGAGAAATCTCAACGATACTAAAACCGAGCCCGGTGCTTGTCTTACGTGGAGAAGATTTGCTAAGTAAATACAGACGATAAATTCTTTACTTATTCAGTATTTTTATCTGTCTCCGAACAAGATACAATAAATTTATTACATGATATTCTGCCACTAAATATTCTAACTGGTAATTAATTATGCTTTAATTGTAAATTATGTAAAAAGATATATTTGCAATTTCCTGCTATCAGATATTTGATTATAAATATAATCACTGCACTAATTGTTCATTCATTCTTTTTCAGTTAATGTGACATTCATTTATAGTGTCATCAATTTTCGATTCGTTAATTACGTATGGTTAAAAGCTAGTTTTAGTCTCTCTGATTTTTAAGTCAATCAGTATTATATATTTTTTTCTATAATGCAAACGATATTATTAGAAAATTTTAATTTCCTTCATTTTAAACGGCTTATACAATGAAATGATGAATTATTTTGATATCAGTGCAACGTTATTTCTAAAATAAAAATGCATGCAGTTTTAAAATTTTCGAATTCGTATATATTTTCGAACTGATGTTATTTTAAGTAGCTACAGGCTATTTTCTAAATTGTAAAAGAAATCGCTAAAGGAACTGAACTAAAAAAGTATGAATGATCAAAATTCCAACAAATTGTATCGTTCCCATTTTTGTTTTGAAAATTGTTATTCTTGAACTTTTTGGAGATGGCTAAGAAATATAAAAACGTCAAACTCTGTTTCATATGTAATTTCGAATGTAACTTAGTCATTAAACTAAAATGTAGAAATCTAAAATCGACCTACAAAAAATTCTATGACTCAATCAATTTTAGAATTTGATTTTTGCGCTTTTGTATTCTTATTTTTTGTGTTTCTTTTATTATTTTGCTTTTGAAATTTATTTTTATTTATTTAATTTATCATTTATTTACGAATCACTGTTTTTTAAATTTAATTTATACTTTTACGTTGTTATAAACTTATCTACATATTTTAAAACCAAATAAATAACTTGTTTAAAATCATATTAAATAAGATTTTATAAAACCTAAAAGGTTTTTATTTGTTTATAAAATTAAATTATTTCTTTCTAGCCTGTTCGAATCCTCTCAAACCTTATTTTGGGCCAGCTTTGGTTTGATAGATCTGGATAATTTTGAACTTTCTGGTATCCAAAGTTATACTAGATTCTGGGGCATGTTAATGTTTGGATCGTATTGTGTGATTAATGTTGTGGTGCTGCTCAATCTGCTGATTGCTATGATGAATCACTCTTATCAAATGATCTCTGTAAGTATCTATTCTTTTCATTCCAGTATTTTAATCGTAAACAATTGAAATTTTTATGAAACCCAACGCGTTAATCTAGCAATTAAGCGTGAGGTAGTAAAAGGACATTGCGATCAATACTTACTTTTAATTGAAAGACTCTTGACATTTTAAGGTCTAATGAACTTGGCTTTCATAAATGTTATATGTCTTCATTAGTATTAATTTGGACTATTAAAAGTTTTGCTGTTAGACATTTCTAATCCCAATGGAAATTTAACTTTTAAACTTTCTTAAAAATAACCTTTCTGTCATAAATAATTCAGGTTATTCTGCAAAAATAATTTTTATGTTTTATTTTTATTTTTTAAATTTTTTTTCTATTCTTTAAGGAACAAACTGATATCGAGTGGAAGTTTGCCAGAAGTAAATTATGGATGAGTTATTTTGAAGACGGGGGAACTGTTCCTCCACCTTTCAATATCATTCCAACTGTAAAAAGTTGTTATTATCTAATGAGGTGGATCAGTAAGAAACTATGCGGACAGTCTAGAACTGCTAAAAAAGAACACTTGAAAACTATTAGGGTTTGTATGGATCCTTATTATCGTATTCTCTTATTGATAAAATAATGCTTTTATAAATTTCACGTAAAAATTCTTTTCTCTAATTAATAATATTTATTCGCTAATGAATAAAAAAGACAAATATATTATAAAAATTGCTTTATTTTTAATGTTTACGTATAATTATAGGCGCAATAAATGTTTAAATAGTAAAAGCTTTCTTAGATTAGTTAAAAAATAAACTTTGTAAGACGCTTAAATAAAAAATGTATATATAAAAGTTCAGATAATAATACTTTCATTTTATAACTTAAATTTTTATATAAATAACGCACTTTTATTTATTTCAAATAATAATGTTTCTCTTTGTATATTTGGGCTTCTGCTTGTTCAGAATAAATGTCAAAAGAGAAATAAAACGACTCTTCGTTATTAAACAAAGATCCAAAATATGATAATCGTATATTTTGGACAAAATATTAGTATAATTAAACACTTTGTTTACTGTATAATTTATAAATTATTGCATTCCTGTTTTCAGTTATTATTAAAATGTAATGAATATTATAACTGATCATAATTGAAATTTTCAAATTTCAGACCTATAAATTCCCACAGCCGTCTGTCTGTCCTTCCTTAATTTCGAAAACGGAGTTAAGTAGATGAAAATTAGAAAATATATGGAAAGATTAGGGACAGGGGACCCCGATCAACATTGTATGAACTTTCAGTTTAGAACAGAAGTCATGTTATTTCAATTCAAAAATTATCTCCAAAACGGAGTTTGATAGATGGCTGGCGGGACTGTTGATAACAGGAAAAATTTGGTAAAATCCAGCGCATATACAAACTTAAAATATAATTGAAAATTGCAACCCGTCATTGTAACAATGTCACAATAAATAATTGCTCGTTAATTTAATAATGTATAAATCTGTAAACAAGCCAAAATTTATCATTTTTAACGCTTTAGGAGCGTTTCATTCGAGAAAAATTATAAATATTTAATTTAAGAATTGTTAAAAATTTGAACTTTTCAATTTTGTTTTAATAAACAAAGATTATAAAATGTAAATAGAAATGTAATGATTATTAACATGCATTATATAATGCAGATTTACAGTTATATAATTATATGTTAATTGNGTTTTGTTGCATGTTCAGTCTTTTTTAAATATTCTTGGTTGTGATTTCTGATTTTTAATAAGATTATATTATTACTAGATATTTATTATACCAGTGAAAAGTGAAATCCCAGATAATATAAATCATAATAAAGAGAAATACTAGACTTAAAGTTTATGTCGTGTCATGTAATACTAATGTGGATTCCACATTTCTATTTTAGAGATACCGAACACAATTAAAATATTAAGAAACAAACTACTGTATATATTACTTGTCAAAAAATGCATTTGTTATATTTTAGTGATATCATTTATTTGTGTAAGTAAATAGGATCAATACAAAAGATAGACTTTTTATTTTATTTTTACTTTTTATTTTTTCAGAGAAAAGCCAAACAAGCAAGCGCTAGAGATCAAAGATATCAAGTAAATATCCATTATTTTGTACTTTTGTCTGTAGTTAAATATATTTGAATCTTAAAATAAATTAATAAAAAGTTATCGTTTAACGAATATTTAATAATAACATTAGATCTATATTAACGATAGTATTAAATTGCTGTTACACTACTGTATTTGTCACAATCTATCGCTATCTGGCAGACAATAATGAGAAACCTAGTTAGACGATACATCACCAAAGAGCAAAGGAAAGCTGACAACCAAGGAGTTACAGAAGATGATGTTAATGAAATCAAACAAGATATTTCTTCTTTTCGATACGAATTAATTGAAATACTAAAAAACAGCGGATTTAACACTTCTTCGGCCAGCGATCCTTCTCAAGGTAAATTTTATTAAAATGTTTTTCAAAATCTTTATAAACAAAAGAGGAGAAAAATGAAATTTATTTGTTAAATTTTGAGAAACATAAAATGTATTAATGAGAATTTCTGTTTCATTTATGTTTACTGCTTTGCAGGAACTGGGGGAAAGAAAAATCGGCAAAAAGAAAGACGATTGATGAAAGGATTTAATATCGGATTAGTAGAAGGATCTGTGCAGACTGCGACTGAATCTAATATTCCAGTGGAATTAGCCGAAAATGTTCGAAAATCTCCCATTAGCCGATTTGCAAAAATTGCTAGATTGGCAAGTGGGAAAAGGAAAGCCAAAAAGGAAAAATGGGCAAATCTTGTTGATGCAACGAAACAAGTTCGAGACGCTTTCAACAGAAGTAGAAGTATGGATTCAATCAGCAGTCAAATTAGCTCAGAACAAGCCAGTACTAAAGGAGAAACTTCTCCTAGTGATTCAAGTTTGAGTGGTGTTGGTTCGTTAGGAGAAGAAACGAGCGAAGAAGAGTCGCCGAAAAGAGTCGACCAAGCAACTAATACAGAAACTCCAGCCTTAAAATGGTCGCGAATTACTAGGAAACTAGGAATGCTTACATTTCATCCAACTAAATTTAAAGTGGTGCTTCACGAAAAGAACGATAACACGCTGGAACCGCCTCCATCAAAATTAATTAGTAAAAAATCTAAAGCTAGAAGAACAGTTAGTGCGCCATCGGCATCTCTCCATCCTCCTCAAAACAGTTTTAATGCTCAGCAAAGAACTAATAGAACTACATCAACATCTTTTAACTCGGTGATTCCCGAAACGAAACGATTGCCAACAATCGAATATTCGCCGAGAAATTCTTTAGCGCCAGAGATGCCCAGTCCAGTTGAAAATGCTCCATGTTCATCTCCACCACGAACACCTGTTTCATGTTCCTCATTTCCAGATACTGGAAGATTAGAATCATCCAAAGCAGAATCGGACATTATCAAAAATTCTGGAATGCCCGCGTCGGAAGTAACATCGTTGAATCAAAGTTCTTCGTTGGAACCTTTAGTGAATGGTAACGGAAAGTCTAAAGAGCGCTCTTTAGGCTTGATATCGACTTTATATGGTATCGAACCAGTGAACAAAGATATGACAATGGGTTGGTTATAGATTTAATTAGGTGAAACAGTTTTTCTCGTATCTTGGCACAGAAGTTATTGCTGATCAGAGCAAATGGTCACCAAAAATATCAGAGATCAGAGTGGATATTGTTTCACTAACATCGACACATATAAGTGACCATCCTTCTTGTGCCAAAAATGCAGAAGTAGACTCTAACAATCTAGTTTTCTACCTCTGACGAAGAATCCAGTTCAAACAGAACAAATTCTGCTCTACACTTCCAGAAAATAATGTTAATGCAAATACGAGCCGACCTTGTAACTACTGGTAGAAAAGTACAACGACTGTTGCTAGATATTTTCTATATAAAAATTCATTCTATGTTCATTCTAGGTACTCAGTTTAAAATTCTCCCGAATTTGCTAGCGCTGCTTTAGATACTTGTTTTAATATACTCGTAACTGCGAAACGAGGAAACATCTAACGATAATAATTTATTAGGGACTAAGATATTTGTATCGAAATTTCTCCACGATTAAATCAGCCATTAATTTCAATTCATTCCATATCATCAACAATTTTTAATAAAATAATAATTTATTCATTTGAATTATGGAATAAATAGGATATTCAATTGAAGAAAGATTCATCTTTCTTACTCTGTAACTCATAATTCAGGGAAATGAAGAATTAACTTTCTATTATAGCTTTATGAATGTTGAAGTTTGCTTTTAAAAATTTTTTTCCACAAAAATTATTCATTCCTTCTGCGAAAAATTACGGATCATGAGATTTTTGTACTCGCTACGTAGATTTATAAAACGAAGAAAACAAATCTAGAACTAATAGAAAAGTACAAATAGATATATTCTGCACAAAATTAGTCTTTCTGCAGAGCAGAAGTTACCAATGCACAATAATTAATATAATAGGCCCACCCTTATATTGTTTATTTGATGTAAACATTTTCGTTAAGTGCCAAAATTGTTTTAAAGAAACTTTCATAAACCGAAAATCATTAAACGATCCCGATTTCGAACTCGATCGCTATTCAGTCAGTTTGAACAAGGATTTTCCTTTGTAAATATATGCTATATGAAAATAAAAATTATTATTGATTTCTGTCATTATTTTATTGTCATTACAAACAAGCGCACAAATGTTGGGACTATTTTCCGGGTTTGAGCCCTCTCCTTAATTTAAGAAATAGAAAACACAGCTTGGAAAATTTATGTTTACTTATAAACTGGTTATCAGTACGTCATTTTCTCCAGCCAAGTTAATCGGAAATAATAATGACAATTTCTTAGAATATGGAGAAAAATCAGAAAAAATAGTGTCCCATTTCTGTAGAATAATGTAGTGTAATTAATTATCCTAGAATAATGGAGTTTTCAACCCGGAGTGCATGCACCCCGGAGAGTGCCAGACACCTTTTCCAGGGTGTGAGCCTTTGAATTAGAGATACTTTTAAAATATATATTAAATTAGTAACAGAAAAATCAAAAAATGTATTTTACCTTGTCTCACAAAAGGTTCTTTTGAGTCTCTTCTTAAAAATACGAATGGCTCCGCCACTGATTACAAATTTATTCAAATAAACAATTTTTAAGATAATTAATTTTATCTATTTAAATATTCGTATATCTTATAAATGTAGAACAGTATTAGATTTGTTTTATATCCTGCAATTTATGTCCTAAGATATTAAATTTTGCGGATTAATTTAATCGAATTACTTTTTCTTCAAGAAAAACTAATGAAAATTATATATACTGAATAAATTTTACTAGATTAGAATTGACTAGTTTAATTGACTAGAATTTTTCAAATAAAGATGGTCTAAAATCAAATTTATATTGTGATGAACATTAGCTGCTAAATCTAAACAAAATCGGCTTTGTGATTTTTATTTTATAATACTTAAAAGACTCTCTGTTATAAGTATGCTAATTTAGTATTGGTTTTTGTTTTTCTAATGGATTAGTATGATGCAAATCGATTTTTTCCCGAAATAAGAGACAAATAGTAAATTAACTAGCTTCTCAAATTATCTCAAAATTATAGCATTAATAAATAAATTATAATTAATTACAAATATATGTTTTGCATCTTGCATTGCTTCATCACATTTTCTCAATAATATATTAGTCACAGAGAAAAACAAAATTTTCAATTTCATTATCAATACTTCGTAATATCAATATAAAAAATCTGCGTAATTTTGTAGGGAATTTCTCATAGATTTACTAAAATTATTGGAGCAGTTCTCATTTTATATTGCTTTGCGTAATTAAACTAATATTAAATAATTTTGGTGATATTATCATATGAAAAACAAAGCATTTAACATATTTGTCTTGATTTATTCGAGTCATATTTTACTTATGCTTTGTTTCGTTGTCGCAAAAATAAGTGTTTGTCAGTAAATTTATAGCATATAATTTTATATTCACGACAAGAAATGACTTTAAAGAATTTCTCAATTTTTTTTTCATTTCGTTTCATTTCTAATACATATTCTAAATATTTGCTACCGCTTACTCAATAAATCGATTACATAGAGTAGAAAATATAGATTAATCAATAATTATAGAGAATATTAAAATTTCTCTTAAAATTTTACACAAAATTACCAACTCTAGTATTATAGAGTAAACGAAATCGCTTTATGCTTATAATACAAAGTAATAATAATAATATAATAAAATAAATCTTTTATACTTGTGCAAAATTTTAGTAATGCAAGATAAAAAAAAAATATTATTTTTTTTATACTACAATTACAAGAGAGAAATTTGTACGACGTCTTTCAAATATATCTCTTCAATTCATAAAAAGTTATAGCAAAATATAATAGATGTTTTTAATTTAGGATATAACTTCTTATTCATTTCTTTATTTTTTAATTGTGTAAACTAAAAAAACCTTTATTTTTTCGTTTTCTATATAATTGAATTGAAAGCGTATTTATTTGTTTCTTCCTTCGTCTGATTCATTTTGTTGATAGATTTGATCTGTTTCCGATTAGTTTGTTTGCTTTTTACTATCTACAATAACTTTCTTTAAAACAAGACTAGCAGAAAGCATATAATTGACAGCAACCACTCTTTTTCAGATTCCTTTCTTTCCTTCTTGATTGAATCAGTTTTGATTCCTCTGTTGTATTTTATTTATCCATTTAGACTTTGATTTCTCTTTTTCAAAATTTTATATAACAGTTATTACATTTATATATATATAAACATTTATAATATTAATAAATGTGTCTTAATTTCAAATTACAATTAGACTATTATTTTTTTTATTAATAGAAAATAAAACTATTTTTAAAATGAATTCTTCTAAATATTACTTTATATTTTTGAACCCATTTGATGAATTTGTTAGTTATATAAATGAAGACAGATATTAGAAGAGAATTTATATTATAATGAATAATTTAATACAGAAGTGTATAAATCTATCAGCAAACCATATCAGTAATCGTTAATATTAATAAAGAATGAAAGAGATATTCAAACTTATCAAATAAAATTGGCAATAAATATTTTTAAACATAATTGAACATTTCTATAATTTGCAATTTACATTTTTACAAAATCCGTTAGCATTATCTCATTTCTCCTCTGTGATTTAAATATTCTAATCGCTGTTATACGTCTATTCTGAACTAATTCCTGTTTTTTTTTTTCTTTTTTATCCTCAATAAATATAAAAAAATAAGTATAACTTTTATAAATTTAATACTAAAAATAAAAACTATGGAATCTTAAATATTTCCTTATTCCTTTTGTGTGTTCCAGTTATTCTTATAAATAAAAGATACCTTTTCTCTCTGTTACATTTTATATAGAAACATCAACATCACTGTTAAGCATCTGCCAAATATTAATTTATAGAGATCTAAGTATCATTAACGTTTTAGTTTGAATTTTTTTTCACTTTCTCGATCACACGTAACTAATTTGAACAAAGAAAAAAACAAATGGCTCCATTTACCAACATGAGCAATGGCGGAGAATGCCATTAGCATTGACAAGTGGTTGGAGCGTGTTAGAGGAGAAGCAACCATAGGGACAAAACAACGAAACAGCTCTGGAGTAAAAGAACTATAAAAACGAATATTTTGGACTAAAGGGAGAATATTATATCTATTTTGTAGAATTCATATAATATTAAAGTATATTTGTATATTTGAATACACAATAAAAATAAAGGGCAACATTTGAAAGTTTTAAGTAGATTTTTTTAATCATCATAAAACATCTTCGAATGAGATGGAGAGGTTATTGTACATTTACGAATAAGATTCGTCGAGACGAGTTAATTTCCGGTAGTCTAAATATTTCGTACATGAAATCAACTGGAAATACGAGTTTTGTTAATCAGTTCAAGTACACAATCTGCATCATAATATTTTTATTTTAAAATAAATCTGTATGTATTATGAGGATGAAATACATTAATAAATTGCTGTGTGAATAAAAAATATATTTTTTATGTTAATATTATTTTTTAAAATATTGCTGTTATATTAATAAAATATAACTTTATGAATAATGAAATAGAGGATTTTCAAGAAATATTATCATAATTTATTCATTTATTTCAATAAATATATTTATCTATTTGTTCTCATTAATAATTCATTTATTATTCTTAATATAATATAATATATGGGTAATAAATTTATCGAGCTATGGAGATATTTTTAAATTTAATTTTTTATACATAATTTTAAGCATTAAACTAGTTACGAAATTTAATTCGTAGAATAATAATAATAGTAATATATAGGTCAAATTCTGTAGGGGAATTTCTTGATTATTTCTCGTTTTTGGGGTTTTTTATTTAATTCACAAAAACGGTAAATCAAATAACTTAGTTTATTATACAAAAGTAAAATATTCAGGTCAGAATGAAGGAGGTCGCTGGAATATATTATTATAATTGTTGGATTTTATTTAAATAAAATTATCAAAATTAATTTTTAAAAAAATGTAAAGAGCAATATAAAATTTCGAATTGTTGAAATATATTCCGTTAGTGAATCCGGAAATTGAAAAAACAGGGTCAAGGCTTTCAAAACTTGGGTGATAACTCACGGATCTTAAAACTATGTCATCTAGCATAAAAACCTGCCACGTTACCTTCTGTATAGGCCTAATTATAACTATGTCGGCTGTCGGGTGTCTCTGTAAAAAGGTGCTCATTGTAATATTTTAAAATGGACTTTATTTGTCGCCATCATCATCAGTTTCGTTATTTAACATACATAGTCTTGTTCTCGTGTTTGTTTTCTCTGTTATTATATAATGTAGCTTCAATGTATTGGTTCGTATCCAGTTTGATGATCAACAGTCAGACACCTGAGAAAGTGAATGCCATTAGAGAATGGACGTTTCCTCGTACCGAAACCGTGCACCTATCGTTCATGTGCAAATATGCTTACCGCAACATGAAAATCTTGAGAAATTTATTACGCTGCGTTAAAAGTATTATTAGATATACCTCTCGTAACCTGCATTTTCATATTTTTCTCGACAAACCGAGCAAAATGAGAGTAAAAAGAACTCTCAAAAAAATAATCAGAGAAACTGGTCGCACATTTTCGGTAAGTTGCTTTTAAGTATATATTTTTTTTAATTGTTAAGTAAAAGAAGAAATGAATTTACGATGTAAAAATAATTTATTTTCCCCAGGAAAAATGCATTTAAAACTTATATTATTACGACGCAACAAATAGTAATTTTCATAATTGTATTAAATAGTTAATTCCGTAATTTAATTTTATTGACGATTAATAACAGGCTTTTGTTATATGTAAACTTTTGTAATACATAAACTATAAATTAAATACAAACGAAATAAATTACACATGACGAAATCTTTAATAAATTCAACCGAACTTTTCGCGTAAATTAAATATTGTGTCAATATGCTGAATGGCTGTTAGAACTCTTGAAAGGTCATTTGTGTACACGAGTTCATACAAAATTAGCAACAAATCATTTTAATGTAAAACTTTTTTTATTTTTAATTATAATAATCAAAATAAGCGAAGATTATTATATCGAAAGAATTAATTGAAAATTCAAATATAATATCATAAAAGGATAAATTGTATATAAAAATGAAATTTTAAAATATTTATTTATATATCATTCTTTTAAATTTAACAAAACTGAGGATTCACTTTTAAATTTTTAAATAAAGCTCAAAAAAATCTTTTTAAAAAAAATAGCTAGACGGAAAATAGATATAAAAATAAATAAAGAGTTAAATTTTAAAAAGTAAAATAATTTTTAAAATAACTTTCTTAATTTAAATTTTAAATAAAATATTTTTCAATTTTTTATGAAAAAGTATAATAGTTTTTTCATAAATTATTTATAATATAGTCTTAGAATTATTTTAATGTTTCTATTTTTTTATGATTTAACATTTTACTAATTTTAATAAATTTATTTTTTATATTGCAGATAAGTTTTTACGATATTAATAACATTATAGAAAAGTCACAAGATTTTATCAAAATAATGAGGAAGTTCTTCTTCACCAAAGATGTCGGTCGTTATAATGATGACATATTTTTCATCTCAGAACTGATTCATCACATCTTGTCTATCGATAAAGTTATTATGATCGATCTAGATTTGATTTTCAATGCTGACATTGGCGATCTTCATCGTCATTTTCACAAGTTTTCTCCTACAAATGTGATAGGATTAGCTAACGACTTGCAACCCCAGTATCGTGTAGATTTCCAATTTTATAGAAAATTAAATCCTCAAACGTCGGTGGGTGCTCCAAGACCGGGTAAACAAGGTTTCAATACTGGAGTTGTTCTTTTTCATCTAAAGAAAATGCGTCAATCCGAATTATATAATTCGTTACTCAACCATACTGCTATAGAATATCTGTGCAAAAAATATTATTTTGAAGGATATTTAGGTCATCAAGATTTCTATACCTTAACAGGAATGGAATATCCAGAATTATACTACGTTTTAGACTGTACATGGAATAGACAATTAGATACTGGATGGAATAACAGCGTGGATAAAAATATTTTCGATCTCTATCATGAATGTAACGGTAAGATAAAGGTAATACATGGCAATGGAGATGCCTTTATGCCTTATTAGCCTGATATTTTATTATACAGTATTGCGATTAAGACTACCGAGCCATTTCGTTGTATAAATAAATTGTAAAGTATCGCAGAAAAACATTACGATGACGATTTTTTTTCTTTATTCATCAAATAATTGGCATTATTTATTCCTGTCAGAAGATATATTTTTTAGTAAATATAGAAATATCAACGAATAAGTAATATAACTGGCATTTTATTAAACAAATATTCTCTGAATGTGTAATAAATATTACAATACACTTTTAAATATTGCCTGAAAAGTATTCAAATTTTACCGCGGGTTAAATTTGAAAATAAAATATTTTTATGGTTTACTGTGTTTCGTTTCAAACTAAAGAGCATATATACATATAAGTTAATCAATTATTATTCTCGATTTAGAAATATTGATTTGCGCTCATTAATTGAATTTGGTGTTATTTTAAATATATGTAAATTAAATTAATTTCTTTAATTCTATCTATCTGTTAAACCATATTTCAGTAGATTTTTTTTTAATCAAAGCTTTCATAAAAGTATAGTGTGCGGTATTTTCCTATTGGTTTCAGGTTGTTGAAACAAATAATATGTGCAAGAGCTTTCATCCATGAATTCCATTGTCCGCAAATTAACGTTTAATGATTTGTTTAAGGAAACCTTTAATGTTACACAACACAGTTAACTATTTCCTGTTTGTAAACTTGTTTTTATTAATTCTTTTTATATAATCAGTGGATCAAGTATTCTTTTAATACTTGATATACACTGTTGGACGTTTCGAAATAAAATTTTGAAAATTTAGTAGTTTGATTACAATCGTTTCTTATTACAGTTGTTTCTGTAGTTCTCGCGCATTTATGGATTAATTCATTCTATTTGTCTGAAAATTACTTGCAAAAGCACTAAAATTGCTTCAGTAACCACATAGGCTATATAGTCTATATTATAAATTTAAATTAGAAATTTTTTCTTATTTTCAAAATTTAAAATCTGTTTCTTAAAACATTTTCCCTGTGNAATTAATTAAATAATTACAAGATTTAGGCAAAAATTTTATCCAATATAAATATGACATTAGACATTAACACAATCTTTTTTACGTCACAATCTGAAGACACCGGCTGATCTCATTTGAAAAACACGTACAGTATATTGTAATAGAATATATCTGTTTAATTTATCAATTTTATCCATAAAATCGCGGATTGGCATATACTATATGATTTAAATTTTTCATATACAGTATATTTCTTACGATGATTCTATAACGATTCAATCTTACTTAAATCATACTGTTTTAAGTTGAATATCAAAGGAAAGACATGATTATATACGAGTATATTAGGTAATTGCGGGAACATTTAATTCATGTATTGTTTTGTTGCATGTTCAGTCTTTTTTAAATATTCTTGGTTGTGATTTCTGATTTTTAATAAGATTATATTATTACTAGATATTTATTATACCAGTGAAAAGTGAAATCCCAGATAATATAAATCATAATAAAGAGAAATACTAGACTTAAAGTTTATGTCGTGTCATGTAATACTAATGTGGATTCCACATTTCTATTTTAGAGATACCGAACACAATTAAAATATTAAGAAACAAACTACTGTATATATTACTTGTCAAAAAATGCATTTGTTATATTTTAGTGATATCATTTATTTGTGTAAGTAAATAGGATCAATACAAAAGATAGACTTTTTATTTTATTTTTACTTTTTATTTTTTCAGAGAAAAGCCAAACAAGCAAGCGCTAGAGATCAAAGATATCAAGTAAATATCCATTATTTTGTACTTTTGTCTGTAGTTAAATATATTTGAATCTTAAAATAAATTAATAAAAAGTTATCGTTTAACGAATATTTAATAATAACATTAGATCTATATTAACGATAGTATTAAATTGCTGTTACACTACTGTATTTGTCACAATCTATCGCTATCTGGCAGACAATAATGAGAAACCTAGTTAGACGATACATCACCAAAGAGCAAAGGAAAGCTGACAACCAAGGAGTTACAGAAGATGATGTTAATGAAATCAAACAAGATATTTCTTCTTTTCGATACGAATTAATTGAAATACTAAAAAACAGCGGATTTAACACTTCTTCGGCCAGCGATCCTTCTCAAGGTAAATTTTATTAAAATGTTTTTCAAAATCTTTATAAATAAAAGAGGAGAAAAATGAAATTTATTTGTTAAATTTTGAGAAACATAAAATGTATTAATGAGAATTTCTGTTTCATTTATGTTTACTGCTTTGCAGGAACTGGGGGAAAGAAAAATCGGCAAAAAGAAAGACGATTGATGAAAGGATTTAATATCGGATTAGTAGAAGGATCTGTGCAGACTGCGACTGAATCTAATATTCCAGTGGAATTAGCCGAAAATGTTCGAAAATCTCCCATTAGCCGATTTGCAAAAATTGCTAGATTGGCAAGTGGGAAAAGGAAAGCCAAAAAGGAAAAATGGGCAAATCTTGTTGATGCAACGAAACAAGTTCGAGACGCTTTCAACAGAAGTAGAAGTATGGATTCAATCAGCAGTCAAATTAGCTCAGAACAAGCCAGTACTAAAGGAGAAACTTCTCCTAGTGATTCAAGTTTGAGTGGTGTTGGTTCGTTAGGAGAAGAAACGAGCGAAGAAGAGTCGCCGAAAAGAGTCGACCAAGCAACTAATACAGAAACTCCAGCCTTAAAATGGTCGCGAATTACTAGGAAACTAGGAATGCTTACATTTCATCCAACTAAATTTAAAGTGGTGCTTCACGAAAAGAACGATAACACGCTGGAACCGCCTCCATCAAAATTAATTAGTAAAAAATCTAAAGCTAGAAGAACAGTTAGTGCGCCATCGGCATCTCTCCATCCTCCTCAAAACAGTTTTAATGCTCAGCAAAGAACTAATAGAACTACATCAACATCTTTTAACTCGGTGATTCCCGAAACGAAACGATTGCCAACAATCGAATATTCGCCGAGAAATTCTTTAGCGCCAGAGATGCCCAGTCCAGTTGAAAATGCTCCATGTTCATCTCCACCACGAACACCTGTTTCATGTTCCTCATTTCCAGATACTGGAAGATTAGAATCATCCAAAGCAGAATCGGACATTATCAAAAATTCTGGAATGCCCGCGTCGGAAGTAACATCGTTGAATCAAAGTTCTTCGTTGGAACCTTTAGTGAATGGTAACGGAAAGTCTAAAGAGCGCTCTTTAGGCTTGATATCGACTTTATATGGTATCGAACCAGTGAACAAAGATATGACAATGGGTTGGTTATAGATTTAATTAGGTGAAACAGTTTTTCTCGTATCTTGGCACAGAAGTTATTGCTGATCAGAGCAAATGGTCACCAAAAATATCAGAGATCAGAGTGGATATTGTTTCACTAACATCGACACATATAAGTGACCATCCTTCTTGTGCCAAAAATGCAGAAGTAGACTCTAACAATCTAGTTTTCTACCTCTGACGAAGAATCCAGTTCAAACAGAACAAATTCTGCTCTACACTTCCAGAAAATAATGTTAATGCAAATACGAGCCGACCTTGTAACTACTGGTAGAAAAGTACAACGACTGTTGCTAGATATTTTCTATATAAAAATTCATTCTATGTTCATTCTAGGTACTCAGTTTAAAATTCTCCCGAATTTGCTAGCGCTGCTTTAGATACTTGTTTTAATATACTCGTAACTGCGAAACGAGGAAACATCTAACGATAATAATTTATTAGGGACTAAGATATTTGTATCGAAATTTCTCCACGATTAAATCAGCCATTAATTTCAATTCATTCCATATCATCAACAATTTTTAATAAAATAATAATTTATTCATTTGAATTATGGAATAAATAGGATATTCAATTGAAGAAAGATTCATCTTTCTTACTCTGTAACTCATAATTCAGGGAAATGAAGAATTAACTTTCTATTATAGCTTTATGAATGTTGAAGTTTGCTTTTAAAAATTTTTTTCCACAAAAATTATTCATTCCTTCTGCGAAAAATTACGGATCATGAGATTTTTGTACTCGCTACGTAGATTTATAAAACGAAGAAAACAAATCTAGAACTAATAGAAAAGTACAAATAGATATATTCTGCACAAAATTAGTCTTTCTGCAGAGCAGAAGTTACCAATGCACAATAATTAATATAATAGGCCCACCCTTATATTGTTTATTTGATGTAAACATTTTCGTTAAGTGCCAAAATTGTTTTAAAGAAACTTTCATAAACCGAAAATCATTAAACGATCCCGATTTCGAACTCGATCGCTATTCAGTCAGTTTGAACAAGGATTTTCCTTTGTAAATATATGCTATATGAAAATAAAAATTATTATTGATTTCTGTCATTATTTTATTGTCATTACAAACAAGCGCACAAATGTTGGGACTATTTTCCGGGTTTGAGCCCTCTCCTTAATTTAAGAAATAGAAAACACAGCTTGGAAAATTTATGTTTACTTATAAACTGGTTATCAGTACGTCATTTTCTCCAGCCAAGTTAATCGGAAATAATAATGACAATTTCTTAGAATATGGAGAAAAATCAGAAAAAATAGTGTCCCATTTCTGTAGAATAATGTAGTGTAATTAATTATCCTAGAATAATGGAGTTTTCAACCCGGAGTGCATGCACCCCGGAGAGTGCCAGACACCTTTTCCAGGGTGTGAGCCTTTGAATTAGAGATACTTTTAAAATATATATTAAATTAGTAACAGAAAAATCAAAAAATGTATTTTACCTTGTCTCACAAAAGGTTCTTTTGAGTCTCTTCTTAAAAATACGAATGGCTCCGCCACTGATTACAAATTTATTCAAATAAACAATTTTTAAGATAATTAATTTTATCTATTTAAATATTCGTATATCTTATAAATGTAGAACAGTATTAGATTTGTTTTATATCCTGCAATTTATGTCCTAAGATATTAAATTTTGCGGATTAATTTAATCGAATTACTTTTTCTTCAAGAAAAACTAATGAAAATTATATATACTGAATAAATTTTACTAGATTAGAATTGACTAGTTTAATTGACTAGAATTTTTCAAATAAAGATGGTCTAAAATCAAATTTATATTGTGATGAACATTAGCTGCTAAATCTAAACAAAATCGGCTTTGTGATTTTTATTTTATAATACTTAAAAGACTCTCTGTTATAAGTATGCTAATTTAGTATTGGTTTTTGTTTTTCTAATGGATTAGTATGATGCAAATCGATTTTTTCCCGAAATAAGAGACAAATAGTAAATTAACTAGCTTCTCAAATTATCTCAAAATTATAGCATTAATAAATAAATTATAATTAATTACAAATATATGTTTTGCATCTTGCATTGCTTCATCACATTTTCTCAATAATATATTAGTCACAGAGAAAAACAAAATTTTCAATTTCATTATCAATACTTCGTAATATCAATATAAAAAATCTGCGTAATTTTGTAGGGAATTTCTCATAGATTTACTAAAATTATTGGAGCAGTTCTCATTTTATATTGCTTTGCGTAATTAAACTAATATTAAATAATTTTGGTGATATTATCATATGAAAAACAAAGCATTTAACATATTTGTCTTGATTTATTCGAGTCATATTTTACTTATGCTTTGTTTCGTTGTCGCAAAAATAAGTGTTTGTCAGTAAATTTATAGCATATAATTTTATATTCACGACAAGAAATGACTTTAAAGAATTTCTCAATTTTTTTTTCATTTCGTTTCATTTCTAATACATATTCTAAATATTTGCTACCGCTTACTCAATAAATCGATTACATAGAGTAGAAAATATAGATTAATCAATAATTATAGAGAATATTAAAATTTCTCTTAAAATTTTACACAAAATTACCAACTCCAGTATTATAGAGTAAACGAAATCGCTTTATGCTTATAATACAAAGTAATAATAATAATATAATAAAATAAATCTTTTATACTTGTGCAAAATTTTAGTAATGCAAGATAAAAAAAAAATATTATTTTTTTTATACTACAATTACAAGAGAGAAATTTGTACGACGTCTTTCAAATATATCTCTTCAATTCATAAAAAGTTATAGCAAAATATAATAGATGTTTTTAATTTAGGATATAACTTCTTATTCATTTCTTTATTTTTTAATTGTGTAAACTAAAAAAACCTTTATTTTTTCGTTTTCTATATAATTGAATTGAAAGCGTATTTATTTGTTTCTTCCTTCGTCTGATTCATTTTGTTGATAGATTTGATCTGTTTCCGATTAGTTTGTTTGCTTTTTACTATCTACAATAANTTTTGTTTTTGTTTTGCTTGTTTTGTTACTTTTCTTTTTCCATTTTCATTTTCTTTCTCATTGTAAAAATATCCTTACTTCTTAAACTGTCCTATTTCCATACACTTTCTCAAGATTTTCGTGTTAAAAACCAGTTCAGTTTCTTCCCTCTTTCTCTCTTGTTTTTCTGATGCCGATTAAATTTCTCTTTTAACATTTAAATTCATTCAGTTTTTTCGAATTGCGTGTTGTTATTTTTTTATAAAAGTAATTCTACATGTCATAAAGGTTCATACAAAATTATCTCTAATTTATCATATAATAATATGTAATTATTTATAATTAACTTAATAAAAAATAATATGTAATCAAAGTTTGAATAAAACCGAATTCAAAGTATTTTAGAAACATTTATCAATTGAACATTTCTTTATTATCAATACTTTTAAACAGTACTTATTATAATTATATAAACGTCCATATTATTTTCATATATTTGGCCAATTTAGGTACAAAAAAACGAAAAAAAAAACAATTTTAATTCCAAGTATAATAACATAGTTTAAATAATTTCAGCAGCTCTTCTTTTAAATAAACAGATTTGAGAATATTTAACAAATAATCTTTTAAACAATTTTCTAAAATTATTTAAGAGAATTTAAATAGCAGAAATAATAAGGTCAAGTAATACAGATTATTATTAATAAATGAGATAATGTTAAAATATAATTGAAATAGCTTGTACTCATCCGCATACCTTACAACAACTTAATTAAAATTGTCAGATTTTCTAACAAGATATCATTATTGCAAGATCAAATTACAAATATAATCTGAATTCTTTTCCATATTTTTTAGTACAGTTACAACAGCTGATAAAGATACTGTACTTTGATACTTATTAGGCAGGTTTTTATTTATTAAATAAATACGGTTTTTTCACAACTTGCAACTTAATTAAATGAAATGTTTAAATTTTTTAATAAAGTTTTAGTTGATATTTCTACAATAAATAGACAATAAAATTATAAATTTTAATATTAACCATTGAATTATTAAATAAGTTATTCCAAAATGAATTTACCAAAAATAATTTCTATTAATTTGTTTTTTTATAATCTACGTAACAAATGTTTTTAATAATGTATAAGCATTATTCGTATAAGTATATTTATATATCAAGAAATCAAACTTCATACTTAAGACTTTAGGCACCATATTTTGAAGCAGTGTCATTTGACTTAATGTATATTAAAAACACTTTTCATGAAAAATTCTATTAGTTTGTTCCTAATGAATGATGGTTGATATCAGTTTTAAAACAAAACCTAACAAGTCTACTGTTTGTATTCTTAAAACTAAAAAGAAATAACAAAAAAGTTAATTAGTATAAANTTTTTTTATACTACAATTACAAGAGAGAAATTTGTACGACGTCTTTCAAATATATCTCTTCAATTCATAAAAAGTTATAGCAAAATATAATAGATGTTTTTAATTTAGGATATAACTTCTTATTCATTTCTTTATTTTTTAATTGTGTAAACTAAAAAAAACCTTTATTTTTTCGTTTTCTATATAATTGAATTGAAAGCGTATTTATTTGTTTCTTCCTTCGTCTGATTCATTTTGTTGATAGATTTGATCTGTTTCCGATTAGTTTGTTTGCTTTTTACTATCTACAATAACTTTCTTTAAAACAAGACTAGCAGAAAGCATATAATTGACAGCAACCACTCTTTTTCAGATTCCTTTCTTTCCTTCTTGATTGAATCAGTTTTGATTCCTCTGTTGTATTTTATTTATCCATTTAGACTTTGATTTCTCTTTTTCAAAATTTTATATAACAGTTATTACATTTATATATATATAAACATTTATAATATTAATAAATGTGTCTTAATTTCAAATTACAATTAGACTATTATTTTTTTTATTAATAGAAAATAAAACTATTTTTAAAATGAATTCTTCTAAATATTACTTTATATTTTTGAACCCATTTGATGAATTTGTTAGTTATATAAATGAAGACAGATATTAGAAGAGAATTTATATTATAATGAATAATTTAATACAGAAGTGTATAAATCTATCAGCAAACCATATCAGTAATCGTTAATATTAATAAAGAATGAAAGAGATATTCAAACTTATCAAATAAAATTGGCAATAAATATTTTTAAACATAATTGAACATTTCTATAATTTGCAATTTACATTTTTACAAAATCCGTTAGCATTATCTCATTTCTCCTCTGTGATTTAAATATTCTAATCGCTGTTATACGTCTATTCTGAACTAATTCCTGTTTTTTTTTTTTTTTTTCTTTTTTATCCTCAATAAATATAAAAAAATAAGTATAACTTTTATAAATTTAATACTAAAAATAAAAACTATGGAATCTTAAATATTTCCTTATTCCTTTTGTGTGTTCCAGTTATTCTTATAAATAAAAGATACCTTTTCTCTCTGTTACATTTTATATAGAAACATCAACATCACTGTTAAGCATCTGCCAAATATTAATTTATAGAGATCTAAGTATCATTAACGTTTTAGTTTGAATTTTTTTTCACTTTCTCGATCACACGTAACTAATTTGAACAAAGAAAAAAACAAATGGCTCCATTTACCAACATGAGCAATGGCGGAGAATGCCATTAGCATTGACAAGTGGTTGGAGCGTGTTAGAGGAGAAGCAACCATAGGGACAAAACAACGAAACAGCTCTGGAGTAAAAGAACTATAAAAACGAATATTTTGGACTAAAGGGAGAATATTATATCTATTTTGTAGAATTCATATAATATTAAAGTATATTTGTATATTTGAATACACAATAAAAATAAAGGGCAACATTTGAAAGTTTTAAGTAGATTTTTTTAATCATCATAAAACATCTTCGAATGAGATGGAGAGGTTATTGTACATTTACGAATAAGATTCGTCGAGACGAGTTAATTTCCGGTAGTCTAAATATTTCGTACATGAAATCAACTGGAAATACGAGTTTTGTTAATCAGTTCAAGTACACAATCTGCATCATAATATTTTTATTTTAAAATAAATCTGTATGTATTATGAGGATGAAATACATTAATAAATTGCTGTGTGAATAAAAAATATATTTTTTATGTTAATATTATTTTTTAAAATATTGCTGTTATATTAATAAAATATAACTTTATGAATAATGAAATAGAGGATTTTCAAGAAATATTATCATAATTTATTCATTTATTTCAATAAATATATTTATCTATTTGTTCT